TAGGTGGAGGTTAACAACACTTGAAATTGTTATCCATCGTAAAAAACTACTTGCTTTTTAACTTGAAACGCTAAGAGAAATCAACTGAATGGAACAGGTGAAGATCGTCCCAATATATATATATATATATACATATATATGTAGCAGAATAATTACAATGTTGACATTATACCTATCTTCATTAGGTACAATTGATTATAGCAAACTTTTTTAAGTGTGAGTGTAAAAAGCCTCCACGGGTGCCTTTTTATGTAGTTGTGATATCGCGGGATGAGCTCTTAAGGCACAATATGGTATACGTCAGAGAAGTACCTAGAGAATTTATCTCAATTACAGGTTTAATAACATATTTGTTTACCTGTTTATGTTTTGAGCCTCTGTTATGACCTACACAATTCTATCCAGGTATACAACTAATAGAGGACAGAAAAAAGGCACATGAGTGGGTTTGTTGATTATTTGGGTATATTTGAGAGTATTTACTTATAAACTTGTTTCTTTTCCGCTGCGTCTAAATAGAAACGGGTAAGTCTGACAGCTACCATATTTGAGAATGAATTGTCTGTTTTTTAATATATATTCATGGAAAAACATCTCGTTGCTGGACATCACGACTAACATTTGAAAATGGCCCAAAATGTAGAAAATTATTATAATTATATTTTTTTAAATTGCATTAACTTGAGAACGGCTGGACTTAGGAAAAAAGTTTTTATATGCAATGTTTTTGAAAATTACGCGTAGAATCCAAATAAATTACTATTTTACTAAAAAATATGCAATTTCTTCAACTTGTATAAACCAACAAAAATTTCAAAAATTATAAATTTTTTTTTAAGAAAGTTACCAGTATACACTCTTCACCAAATATTAGGGCATTTTTTCAGTTTTCTTGAAAAAAAAAAATTATAAAGATCGAAGGGGGGGTGTTTTGAGATAATCATCGTTTTTCGTTTTTGAAATACTAATTTACTAAGTTTTTCTTTCAGTGTATTTTTTTCCGCAAAGATAATTTAACTACCTAAAACTTCTTCTCATATGCCATTTTGATCAGATCAATAGTTTTCAAGTTATGATTTTTTGAAAAAAAATAATCCATTTTTTTATACGCCCTTTTCAAAAGTTACTCTGGAGGAAAAAATCATATTTTAATGAAAAATGCAACCATTAGTAGCAGCGAACACGTGAGAAATGTTTCATTCAAATCGGAAACACTCATGACCAACCGGTTTGCGTTTTGGGCTGGAAATGCTCATACCCTTTTCACATGTGGCTCTTGATATTATGATTGATCAAAACATGCTAATTTAGACTGGCAGAAACTGCCATCTTAGAGAAATTTTAATTGCAAAATTGGTAGTTATTTTCCTTAAAACCGCTTTACAAAGCAAATAAAGGTATCTACATTATTGCTGTCTTGAGAAAAGTTGTGCATTTTGATGATATTGAAAACTTCGTGTTACATTTCGAATCGATTAATTAAGATTTATAATACAAAAAAGTAAAAAAAATCGATTTTAAGGTAGTCCTGACAGAAATCCAATTATATGTCCCAAGAATTATGATGCAGAAACTTTGTGTCTTTAACAAAGTTTCGGAAAATGCAAAGTTCTAAAACTTTGCCGAAGACGTAAACCTATTATCTTGTGATTAAAAAACTTAGTTTTTCTTAGTGTAATACCACTTTAATAAAAATTCATGTGAATATTTCAAAAGATGTAGAATAGCATTTTAAGAAACTTCTTCGAAAACACCTCAACGCTAAAACATCGGGAACTGCGGGAAAAGAGTTTTGACTTTTTTTTTCAGAATGGTCCCACTGTGCGACGGCTATGTTTTTTTTTTCATCCAAACGCGGTTGTTGTTTGGAAGGCAGAGCCGTACTCAGGGTTTTTTTTATGTAGGTGGAAAACTCTCAGTTTTGCACTCCTCCTTCTGGTTCTTTCACTTTTACGATGCCCTCATCACATTCCATAAGGCTGGTCTTAAAGAGATAGATATATCAAAGAAAATTTGCACTCTTATACCTGTTAACTCTGACATAAAGTGGAAGTTATTCAGCCCAGATGCTAGGTGTATTTAGAAAAAAATCTCCAACGATTCCGGCGAAATACCTTCACATCTCGTCATCGCTACTATTAAAATTTTCGGCTGGGGAAAGGTGTTTTTGTTCAATATTTAAGATTTATCATACAGGGTCTTTCCGAAAGCTCAGTGACCAAGAGCATTTCGTAAAAGTTGAGAGATTATCATTTTATTACTGTGAACTTCATAGAAGCTCTGACAACTTATTGAAAGGAAAAGGAACGTTATAGAATTTCAAGGGACATTTTAGATTTTCAAGAAACATAGTAGAACTTTCAAAAACTTCTTAGACATTAATTAAACTGTGTAGAAGATCAGGAAATTTTCTAGAAGTACAACACATTATATAGAAATTCTGCAACCTTTGTAAAAGCTTAGCAAACATTGTAGAACTGTGATAACTTTAAAGAATTTCAGAGAATTTTATAGAAGTACAGCAAATTTTGTCCCACATTCGGGAAATTTCGATGACTTTCAGAGTTTTTATTTAACTACATTTGATGTTTAAAATTTCTTCATATGTCTTAGAATACGTTTGTAGAAAAAGTTTCTGGGTCTTTCCTCATGCTTGGAGAAGGTCATGAATGTTCTGAGATCATGAATTGAAAGAACTTGAAAAAAATATGGACTTGCAAGAAGTTGGGAAAATATTCAACAAGTAAAGATTAGGAAACTTCATCTTGGAACATTAGAGCAATTTTTTACCCCTCAGGAACCTTCGTCACCTGCTCAGTACGGAGCTGTAGGAAACTAGAACATCAGCACCAAGAAACACAAATAAAACTTATAGAACTTTTCCTCCGAGTGCGGGGGTGGAGCACAATTTTTTTTTAAACCGACCGATGCACAACCCGACTAACGCAGTGTGACAGCAATACGATGACAATTTCACTGGGCGGCTGCTTGAGCTGAATTGTTTCCTCGCAGTTACATATTCACTGTAATAATAATAATCAAAATCATATTAAAATCGTTTCCACACATTCACTACAGCGGTGGCGGAATTCGTCCGGTTTTATAGCAGCCAAAAGCACGTGAAAAACACGAAATTCATGAAAGCTATGATCGAAAATAAAAACCAATCGTTCGCGGGCAGAGCCTTCTGCGCACTCTAGTAAGACTCAGACAATTGGGTATAAATTTGAATAATTTTTCGCAAATTTTTCATAATTTGAAATTCATCCTACGTTAAGTAACAAAAACCAAATATATTGTAATTGTAGTTAAATTCGATTTATCTCAACATAATTGAAATTCCGCAACTCACCACGGCCCATAGTACAGTGGTTCCCCTTAGAACAAAAGTTGGCCAAAACCTCAAAATTGTTGCTAATAGGCAAAAAAACAGTTGAAATAGATGTTGTTTAGCTGTACGAAGAAAACTTGACAATCAAGACGTCACAAAAAGGAGTATAGTAGAACCAAAACCAATGAACAATGGTCCCAGCAGTATTTACCTAGGAAGACAAAAATGTTTGCGCCCAAACTTTCAGTTTTTGGTATATGTTTTCTTAGGGAAAGTTGCTTCATATTCAATATTTTTATGTTCATAAAATTAGGGTGGTCCATAAAATTGGTGAATTACAAATACAAACTATTTATTATTTGAAATAGACCAAAGCAGTGTTCTAAACAGTTGTAGAACATTAAATTCAAAGCAACTTTGTACAAGACACAACGTTTTTATCTCTTATGGTTCATGAGTTATGACTTTTTAAACAACCAGGTAGGGTGGTCACTAAAACCGATTTTCTTTGAATATCTTTTCATGCGTTAATTTCTTGCAAAAACATTGTTCTGATTACACTTAGAACTTTTAATGACGCATATTTTTGCTCAAGCAACTAGGTTACTATCTTTTTTGATTAGAAAGTTAAAGGCTATTTTCTTCGAAAAAATGACTCTCAATTGTCAATTGTCAATATCTCAAAATGGAGCAAACCGATTTTCAAACATTTAACCTCATTGGAAACATCGTTTTTTTTTTCATTTTTGGTAAAAACAAAACTTCAAGAGCTTTTTGTGTTTAAAACATTTAATTAAATTAAAAAAAAGTAATATTTTTCAACAAAACTAGCAAAAATATGCGTCATAAAAAGTTCTTAAAGTATATGGCATAAAAATTTCACGAGAAATGAACGAATAAAAAGATATTTAAAGAATGCCGATTGTCTAGGGCCCACCCTAACCTGCTTGTTTAAAAAAATCATAACTCATGAACCATAAGAGATAGATATATGGTGCGTGTGTGTATGTGTGTGCGTATTGGTGTGCTTTGAAAAAGGCATTGTGAAGCTTGCTACGGTATACACCGCAGATTATATAACTTAGAAACAGATATTTTCAAAGAACACTTTACTTGTTATTCCTAATTTCAACATGTTTCGCAAAAAATCGCAAATTACATTAAAGCCTATCTGAAAGCTAACTTTTCTAGCTATCTTTTAGTTACTAAATGATAGTGGGCGGATGTGTCCGTCATTTGTTTTCCTTAGTCTAAATGCGAAAAAAGTATATTTTTGCTAATTTTTATATCAGAAACTGTCACTTAAGGTGATACTCTAAGGGAGCCTTATCGTGAAACTTCAAAGGCACAAATGTCAGCTTCCACAAAACAAACAAATTTGAAATTGCTACTCTCCGTTTTTAGAAGCACAGCAAACAAGGAGTAGCAATTTCAAATTTGTATGTTTTGTGGAAGCTGACATTTGTGTTTTTAAAGTTTCACGCTAAGGCTTCCTTAGAGTATCACCTTAAAAAACTAAGACACTCTTTTTTACCATACATTTGACGTGAAAGAAGCCGAGGAACATTTCTTCTGAAGCAACCAAGTTTATAAACACATTATTTTTTGCTGTGCATAGGTAGGTCACTGTGCTAGTGGAATTGATTATTTTATTGAACGAAAGATTTAGACACTCATCCTTTAAAAACGATTCACCAACCATTGTTGCTGCATTTGGCAAGAGCCGGATAATCACAACGGTTCACAGCGACTCCGAATTCTAGACCACCAGGGCAGCTTTGTGCGTATGCACGTCCTCCGAAGCACTTCATAAACTTGCTGCAATCCCCAGCAATTGGCAGATGGGTAGGATTCTTGGGGTCATCGGTTCGTGGGCAGCGAGGCTCGACAACTCCTGGAACAATTTTGTATCCATCTTCGCTTATGTTCTGCTGGTATTGAGAGAAGACTTGGGATTCCTGTGGTTGTGCATGCTGCATTGGCTCTGGCTGCGGCTGTGGCATTGGTTGTTGCCATTGTTGTCCCTGTCCCCATTGAGGCATTTCTGGTTCCTGTGGTCGCCATTGTATTGGCTGAGGTTTCTGCTGTGGCCATTGCTGTTGGAAGTGACCATAGTACTCCGGAAGGGCCAAAACGCTTGCAAAAGCAAGCGAAAGACAAACGATGAATGCTGTGGAGAAATAATAATTTGTAATTAGATTAGGACGGATTGGACACTTCTTTACCTATTATCGTATTATTAAATCTTAGAGTGTTCATTTATTTTTGGAAAACGATGCTCTGGTATAAGATGCACCATCATGCAAAAAATCAGCGCTCAAGGATTGAATTTACCTTCTGAAGATAATAGATAATTTTTAGACATTTCTTCTATGTGTTACAAGATTTTCATTTGTATTCAACACCTTACCTTTCATAATTGATGATTTGTTCCTGTTCTGTGCTCGACTTGAATGCAAGTGATACCACTCTTCTGCGAGTTCAATGTTTTATACTATTAAACACACATAACTACATCCGTATTGAAGTGGAAACAAGCTACCGATAATGTATCGGGGCCATTAAAGTGATTTTTCTGATAGTATTTTATCAGCTAGGCTTCTAGGAACACAATCGTGTACATTCATATGAGAGGAACGTCTCATACGGCGTGCATTTGTGATATAAGGAAACCTACAGGGTTGGCCATAATAAGTGAAGCAAAAATAAAAAGGTTGCCTTTGAATCGGAATGATATTTTTATTGGTACTTAATGGGTTCTCTTACTAACATATTGAAGTATAACAGGATACACTTACAGTTCAATTCGGTCACCTTTAGCTTTTATGATTGGTTTGAGTCTTTTCGGGAAGGCACTACTAGCGGTACGCACCTGATGTCCAGGAATTTTGTTCTATATTATTTTGCAAAGTTGTCAATGTAAATTAGCTTCAAATGTAAATTCTAATAGATTTGCATCCGCCGAAGAACCTGGTCGTAGTTCTTTAGGGAAGCCTGGAAATGTATTGCTACGGATCATTTATTTATTGATTATCCTCCCAAAATTTGAACTCCTTTAGTAAGAACCTGATTTGAAGTTTATATGGAAATTAGTATGGGGAAACCATTATTTCGATTCATATCTATCTCAAAATTCACCAGTTCACTCTACTTTAGAAAATTATAGCTAAGCTTGTTGAAAATTTTTTCAACTACAACTTTGTTGAAGACCAATTTTCGATCAAATGTAAGGAACAAAAAATTTTAATGATTCAAGTCACTGATGTCTTATGATTATGCTCAATCAACTGTTCAGCAGGCAACATTGGTGTTTATGGCGCGTAGAATAGAGGACAAAAATCATGGCTACTATGTGACACTGCAGAATACAGTGTTGCCCACAATACAGTTGTTTAATCTTGCCATAAGATTATCAATCTCTTAAACAATTAATAACAATTTAATTTGACGTTTGACTGAAAAACGATTTCCTGCAAAGTTGTAGCTGATAAAAATTCTTATAAGAATAGCTATAGAATTTGTTAACACCACAATATGTAAAAAGGCAAGAAGACTATGAACAAAAAGTTTTGTTTTCCCATATAGTCATTTCCATATAAACTTCAAATGGTTTGTGCCAAGTCAGTTTCTTATCAAATGAGTTTAAACTTTCGGAGGTTAATCAGGACCCGATTTGAAACCGTTTGAACACTGTGGAGCGAAAATTTCAAATTTTGCATCAGTCTAATAGGTCATGCTAAGCTTTATATTAACTGCATATTAGCCTTATATTGCAAAAAGGCGAATTAGCGGGCTTGTTGGTTACTTGGGATGAGTAACTGTTTGTTACTCACTAATGAGTTAAGCAACTTTTCATCAAAATAGTTTTTACCTATTAAAGGGTACCGAAAAAACGGGGTATCTTTGATAACATATTAAAGCTACCCCGTTTTAAGTTACTTTAAAGTTTGCGTGTGGGTGTAGAAGCAAGAAATGGCAAATCACTTCTCTTTAATTGATTCACCAGCATGAGCTTTATAGAGCTTTTAGATTGCCAATGAAGCAACATAATATAATTCGCAGAATAGATCCCAAAAGTAGGCTGAATCCGTCACAATTTCCTACTAAAAACTTATAGTAACGTGTTATAATTTCTCATACACATCCCCCCGGTTGAAAACCACTGATCTAAACTCTTATCTCAACTGGTTCTTTATACTATGATGAGCCTTCATTAGGGTGGGTCAACTTTAGAACCCCTGCTCTCCACTGCTCTTTCGTGTATTGAGGTCCCCAATCGCCATACAACTTGACCCACTCTAGTCTTTATCAGTGCTGCAAAATCTCGACAATACACGGAGTTATTGACAATTCTGCTTTTAGTGACCAAGCTAACAGTCACAGTCAAGGCAAACCATGTCAATTGTCAATGACAATGCTGTCAGTGACGAACATGTGTTTTTTTTTATTAACTAAATTTGTAACGAACAAGCATCTACGTCCTCAACTGCTTGGGTAAAAATAATGTGAAACAGAACGCACGAAATTGCACTTTTTGTTACTTTGTCATTAACGATAAAATGAATGAGATCAAGCCTGTCAGTGACTATGTGAAGAACAATTTTGTCGATATCGCGCGAAAGTCTGTCAATGACAATGACAAATTTTCACACTGGTCTTTATATTCAAAATCACAGGGTTAGTGCAAATAACTTAAGCAGCTTTTTATTTTAGTGTATTATCTCCCAACATGCTATTTCAAAACTACTCAAAAATGTTTAGCGAAATAGGATGCTGAAAACTGACCCAACAAAAAAAATAAAATGAATAAAAAAATATACACAATCACAGTAAAAAATATGAATAAATTCAAATTAATTTAATGTGAGTTTTAAAATTAATATACCTCCGATTTTCACTATCTCCAATAACATACGCCCTTTCAAATACCGTAAAAAAAACTTTTTTTTTGTTTTCCCCAACTAGAGATATTAACATTTGAAAAGGACATATTTTTAGTAGAAAAACGTCAATAACTCTTGGTCGGCGAAAGATATTGACAAGCTTTGTGCAGCAAAAATTTGCGCCTTTTAAAGATCTAAAAGTTATTGAAAACACTTTTGCTGAGAAATTTGAAATAAGAAAACTAGACCAAAAAACTGTTTTTTTTAGAGACACCCTTACTCAATTCAAGAAAATAGCTCTAAATCGGTCAATTTAAGGGATACAAAAAAGTTTCTTTATACTAAGTTGCTTTAAAGTAGCTCAGTTATAACTTTGCTGAAAAATGTATACCTTAATTTATTCAAACAAAAAAGTTAGATTTTTAATTTGAATGATAATAAGAACCACCTTAGAATTCATACCAATAACTTTGTAGAAAAGACTTTTAGTCTAAAGTTTCAATTACAGGCTCAAAACATATCATTCCACCTAAATCTGCATTCTGGACCACTGTGCAATGGGAGAACTAAGTTTAGAGTTACAAGTTGGCATAATAACATTATCATGCTGACAAAAGTCTCAAATTACTTATTTTTATTTTTATTTACAGGTTCTTTCTAAAGGAGTTCAAATTTTGGGAGGATAATCAGGACCCAATTTGAAACCGTTTGAGCACTGTGGAGCGAAAATTTCAAATTTTGCATCAGTCTAATGGCCTATGTTAGCCGTGTATCAGCCTTATATTGCAAAAAGGCTAATTAGCGGGCTTTTTGGTTACTTGGTATTAGTGGGTATCAGATACTCATTAATGGGTAAACAAATTATTCATTAATGAGTTAAGCCACCTTTCTTCAAACTGGGTTTTTTTCACCCATTAATATTAATAAGTACGTTCAGACTACAGAGTTATAACATGTTATAGCGCTATCTTGATGGTGGTATCTGTGTAGAAATTATTTGACAACCGTTATAACATGTTATAACTGCTCAGGACAAAAGGACGAAAGGACAAAATGGTCGAAGGGATAAAAGAACAAAAGGATAATAAATTGATTTGTTCAAACGCCCAACATCCAAGACATTAACAGCTGTAAGGTTGTAAGGACAAAACTTCAACAGATCGAAGAAAGAATCAGAAATACCAGGTTGCTTCCATTCACTTCACTATATGTATATATTTTTTTATTATTTATCTGATAGACTTTTTACGCTTCTGCGAGCGTTTTGTCAGCTCTCAACTAATTTTGCTATATGTACTTCCAATAGAGAGCTTTCTATGCCAACCAATGCATGAAATTGTATATTGTTAGGCAAGCAAAATAATACTATATGTACAGGGAACTCGAGAAAATGTTCTACACGAAAGATATCCTCAACCGCATCGATCCCACCACCTTTGGCTTTATAATGTCGTGCCTTTCCTGATTTATCTGAGTCACGAATCATAAACTGAAATTAAAAGGTTTTATGTATCATACGCATACTTTACAACCTCAGGATTCTATAATCAAGATTTTTTATAGCTAAGTAAATCGAAGCAACCCTGATTACCATTATCGGTTTTTATTAAATTATATTTTAGGTCAAATGTGATTTATTGGCAAACAATAATGCGAAATTTCATGCAAATTGGAGAAGGTAGCATAAGTTTGACTCGTCATTTGCCGTGCAATTGGTTTAATTCAACAGCTCCTCCTATTGATCTATACGATTAAGCTTCCCACATAAATGCGAACCATAATATGACCTTACCGAAAATAGTTGAAAATTGTTTATAGTCCCTGCTAACTTTAACTGAAATGGTTATGAAACTTTACATGAACGTTTGTGTGATAAAGTTTAAAGCTTATGTATTATGGTTTTTTGGAAGTGAACCTTATAAATAATGGGTTGTTAAGATCCATTACCATTCAAAATAATTGTTTTCTCCATAAATTTTCGGAGAGAGGACTATATTAGAATATTTCTTCTTATGGTTCGTAAAGCTGATAGAATAGGGAAACGAGATACCTTATGTAATTTTTCACGTAGCTTTAACGTGTCGGTCCGTAGATCCGAAGTAAATCTAAAAATCCGTAGATCTGGATAAACCCGTAGAACTGTCATTTATATAAGGTCCGGACCAACAGGTTTATTGATGTTAGTAAAATGTGCAAATATATAGTAATTGTTCGTATTTCATTTCAATTTTTATCTTTTTAGATGAAACAGCTGTTGGCAGTGACGTCAAACTCTCTGATTGCAGTATGGAATGTTGTGGTAGAGTGACGCCGGACCTTTTTTTTTTAACTAGTTCGTTTATTTGGTAGGCTCAATCGCGTTAGCTTTACGGAGCCGATAGTTCATTGTTCTTTGTTTGTAACAAAATTCACTTAGTTCTATGTCTAGTAGGAGTTGGGCCGAGTACTCGCGGCTTACTCGAGGTTAGAGAGGTACATTATCGAAGGATAGGATCAGGGGAGTAGCTTGGGAGTAAGGTTTCGTTGTCTCATCAGAGCGTTGTCGCCAGTATGAATGGTAGTGCGGTTCTAGTTTCGTCTG